AAGCCCCCACTTCCCCTTCATGTTCTCCATCAGCTTCCCTTATTTTAAGACTCCTAGATACTCCACTGGCTATTATCAGTACTAAAGAGTATTCAGCCACAACCTGGGTAGCATCTGCTGTGTATATAAATTCATGTGTGAACAGTGATGTGATAAAACCAAGGTAAAGTTACTTTTCATATTTGTAAAAATGAAGTCACTACTCCTTTAGATGTCTCTGTTCACATGGATCCTTTCTTATTGGTGTCGCTTACAGGTAGTTGCTTATCTAATCAACTGCCGTGCTCCGATGGTACAAATTGCTATGACAGAGACCTTGAAAAATGTGATGGCAAGTTTGCATGCAGCAAAGGCGAAGATGAGATGGGATGTTGTAAGTATACTTGGTTTTACAAACATAACTTTTTTTTTTGTATGGATTTTTTTATTGATTTGTTGATTAAATATTTCAAATTGAATATATTAATTTGTAATTATCATATCTAAAATTTTTATTTAAACTATTTAACTTGATTTCAAATTTTATTTTTGATATTATACACCTTTGTGGTCATCTTTTTAAAAATATTTAAGTTTTGACCTTTCTGTGTGTTGTGATATATTATTTGTTGAGCTTTGTCTACACTATCCAATTTTCTTTGACAAAAAACTGTTGTTTGCCCATATATAGTCATCATGTGCCTATATATGGTCATGATGTGATGTCATGACCATATGTAGGCATGTCACATGTTTTTGTCAAATAAAATTTGATAGTCTGGACAGGTCTTCCCTGGATACCAGCTTTCCTCCAGGAAAATTGGAAGGATTTCCCTCTTTAAGTATTGTTGAAATAAAATTTAAGATATGGAAAAATATTTGTTACTCATTCAGTTAATTGCAAGGATACACAGATAGCCTGCTCTACAACTGACAGTGGCTGCTACACTCCGGATAAACGATGCGATGGCCAAGCATCTTGCAACCAAAAAGAGGACGAAAGCAATTGTCCAGTGGAACTATGCAATGATGTGAAAGGCCTTTTTCTCTGTGACAACAAGCACTGTATCTTTGAAAGCTGGAAATGCGACCTGGCGGATGATTGTGATGACAACAGTGACGAACGAGATTGTCGTAAGTTCAATATCTAATTTGTAACCGGCACTGGCAAAACCCTCCGTTTGTTGCAATTTCTAATTTCCCACGAGCAGCCAAAACATTCATCAGTATTTTGAAAATTTTCAAGTTTTTGCATTTTTTAAAAGAAGATATATTGAAAAACATTTCTGGAAAATATCAATCACTAAATCTGACTGAAAATCTTAATAATAAACTTAATTTTGGAATCTTTGGAAGCTGTTTTCTCAAAACTTACAAAGCTGATATCAAATGAATTAAATATTCATAACTTCGCTAATACTCAATTGATTTTCTTAAAATAAACACTGTATTAAAAAAGACTTCATATCAGAATCTAAAAAACCACGCCCCCTAAAATTACTTGTGTCCCCCAGTCTTTCCCCCAAAAGTCACGGTCAAGTAGTTAAAAATCATCTAAATTCACCTTATTTTGCGAATTAGCGCCCTTTCAACTGATCATCGAGGCCCCCCCACTTCACCTTCGCGCCCCCTATCAGCACCCCCATTTCATTACTTCTAGATATGCCACTGCTCATTTACAAAAATAAACGTTTACCAATGAGACACAAATCAAAAGAATTCACAGATTTATTTAAAAACTTACTGCGTCAGACGGTCGTCAGCTGACACGATTCAATGAAGAACCGTGACTACGCATGTGCAACCGATTCTTTTTAATGTCAATCTGTTCAGGTTGCCACCAACAGTCAGTAGACGACGTCGCGTCGTCTAGCCCTTAAAGGGAGGGAAGTTGAATTCATCGTGCGACAGTCGCACGACCGTTGTACATTATAGTGAGTGCCAGCTTAACTTTTAGAGAATTATATGTGAATATCCCAATATGAGGCTCGCCATTACTACGGCTATGTTCTCACACAGCAGCTAACGGTTAGCAGGATCCGGATTCTGCAAACCGTTAGCTGCCGTGCGTCCATGCGAGAAAATCCCGATCCGGATACCAACAATATGATGATCGAATCACTGGCCAATAAGAAACTGGAAATTGTAAACGCGTACGTGTGATTGGTTGTTGATAGAAACGCCCTCAACTTGCTAACCATTAGCGTATCCGGACACCGCTAACGGTTAGCGCTAACCGATCGGGCGTTCTCACGTAGGTGCTAACGGTTAGCGCTAACGGTTAGCTCCCGATCCGGATACTAGGGCTCTCGTGAGAACCAGGCTTAAACCATCATCAGTGGACAAAAAATGAAAATTGACTTTTTAATATTCTAATATTCTCCACATTATAAGCTTTAAAATAATGGGTCATTTACTGGAATCAACTTACTAATTGCCAAAGTTATGAGTAAAAGAATTACAGCGTCTCTATAATAAAGCATACAATACTGGCACATTCTTATGCTAATTACTCAGTATAATACCTTGGTATTCAAACTTTTTAAGCTGTGGACGGAGGGCCGGCATAAATTGTGTACTTCCATTTTTGTTTCTATGTCACGTCAGCCCCACTGTACCCATTCTCTTTTATAGCAGTGAATTCTAAATAGAAGGGGGCCAGGGAAGAACTTTTATGAATAGGGGGGGAAATATCACCTAAGCCTCACCATGGCTGGGGCTGAGGTAAGAGAATGTATGATTATGTGGCAACTCTGGATGGTCAGAAATGGCACTCTCATACTTAAATTTTAATATAATTTTCTTTTCTTCTACATTTTATTTTAGAATTTTGGGAAAAAAAAATAACAAAAAACAAACTTGCACTCCAGGTTCTCCTACCCTGCCACTAGAGATTTTCCTACCACAAAAGGTATCTACTCACCAGTAGTTGTGGTTGAGTTGAGCAAATCCTAACACAGATCTCCTCTACATTCTTGGAAATTGCACTTTCAGACTTAAAAATAAGTTTTCAAAGCAGTTTTTTTAACAGAATAACCGAGTCAGCTGGTGCTGCAAATGGTAAGGCATCGCATTACATCAGCAGCCCACTTAATCCATTATCCCAATTAGTCTACCCCTCCCCCATGTCAATACCCTAAACCACTAGATACAGTGAGCTACACTTAGAAAAAACCCCCGAAAAAGCCACACTCTTTAAAAACAATGCTAGAGTAGTGGTGCCTAGGTCACTAGGTGATGTTTCTATAACCAAAAGTAACTTTTTTTTTAAATCGGCAGGAAAATGATTAATTTTTATCAATGTTTCGCGGGCCAGATCAAAATTTTTTGGTGGGCCGGAGTTAGCCCGTCGGCCAGGGATATAATATATACTGTAGCGACAGTACACTGGTTTTTGGGATGGCATGCCTCATATGTCAATCCAATGCATTTCATTATATGATACAATTCAGTATATATGATACATTGTGTAATTGCATAAGTAATAGATGAAATGTAGATATTTTACATAATTGTGTATTGATAGAAAGTTATATATATATATTTTGTTTTTGTTTCAGCCGTATCGTTATATATATATATTTTGTTTTTGTTTCAGCCGTATCAAACAAAGTTATAACTGCAGCAGTAGTGGGTTCGATTATCTGTGGGTTGCTACTTGTTGCTGCTCTAAGTTGTACTTGTAAACTTTACCAATTGCATAGTGGTGACCCATACCAGCCATCTCACACATCCCCCATGCAAGAGATAGAACAGCAATTGTTATGGAGAGAAGCTCCTCCTTCATACATTGCGACTATGGCTTCTCCACATTACTCTCAAGCTCAGCAAGAGTTCATCAGCAATGGACAGGCCCCGGTGGCTTCTTCTGCAACGACCAGTATCTCAGAAAGCAGAAGAACTAGACGTCCTAATTTTTTTCGTATGTTGTCGTGGGATCGATTTAGTCAGAGGAGAAGTCGTGATAGAGGAAATAGTGGGAGTCACTCGAATACAGTAAATGCTGATGGCCAAGCACCGACTAGTACTACAGAACCAGATGTAATCCATCAACAAATAAGTGCTAACAGACCAAATCCTGCACATGTCAGCGGCATACCGCCAGAAGATGAACCCACACCTACCAGTACTGAATTACAGCCAAATCCTCCCACACCTCTTTCAGAACCTTCACCTTCCTCTGAAAGTGGTGCCGTATCAGACACAGACTCTGACACAAATCACGAAGCTAGTGATAGAGACCATCTGGACAGACGGATCTTGTATGCAGCTGCAAACCTGCGACGGATACGCATTAACGGTGGTGTCCAGAATTTGTACCAACACACTGCACATATTAATACAAGCAGAAACTGTCTACCATCTCAGGCAGTTTCTCAAAATGGTATGGCAGCCATGCCAAGATCCAGTTCAAATGTTCCTTTAGAAACTGTTGAGCCTTCAAGGCCAGAGCCAATGCATACTTCTGTCTCAACTGATGCAATCACAAACATATGCCAGGCTGGCCAGCCTGAAGAGCAATCATCTAGGCCTGTACAAACCCATTCTCGGGCTGCTTCTGACGGCTCTGTCATTTCCACAGGCTCTGATTGCACAGCTCCGTTACTTGGACGGCCAACTAGAGAGAGTCTGTGTTGACCAACAAACATTTTATAGAATTTTGTAAAGCATGTTCTTGTTTAAAGGATATAGAGTTTTATTTGGTGTCTTTTTTATGTAAATCATCTTGAAGAGTAGGTATATTTGAAATACAGTTTAAAGATATTCATTACATTAGCTGTTAATATATTTTATGAAGGAAAACGAAGCTAATTACTTGCATTATTGGGTTTGATAATGCGTACAAAGACAAACATACATGTGTGGATGGGGAGGTGGAATTTTTGACATTGCTGAAAGAGTCTAGTGCGGCATTCTCCCTTAGGAAAAATTGCAGACCATGTAAACTTGAGTAGTGATGAGTAACAGTTCTGCTATGAATATTAAAAAATAATAAATGATCATAATTACATCATTATCATCAATATCATAATCATCATCATTGTCATTTCATAATCTTAAACATCTTTCCCATCACCTCCATTAACATAATATTCTTCATCAACATTAATTTCATCATTTTATTTATCATAATTTTTATTCATCATCATCATAATCATCATCATGATTATCGTTATAATCGTCAGTATAATCTTAAAATTTTATATATTATTATCTCATCAAATTTATGGTAAATTTCATTATTTTATACATAGAAGCATTGCAATGTGTTCATTTTAGTTCAAGTAATAATTATCATAAAAACTTTTACATCTCCTTGCTAGGAGTGCTAAAGATAAGTCACTGCTACCACTGCACTGATCTAAATTATTATTTTCTTGGTCTTCCTTAATAGATCTTTGATATGCAATAACTTTCATTACTAGTGATCATTTATTCTAGAGTTTGTTGTGTGTAGCAATGTATTAGAGAACCCTTATCATTGGTATAAGGCATAACCCATACAATTTTCTTTTTTTAGTAATTTTTCCTACTTATTATGGTATTGTCTGCCACAATTTAATACTTACCTAATACATGTGTAAGATTTTCTCAGTATATTTATAGGGTCAGTGGCATAAATAAATGGGGCAGTAAGGGGAAGTAGTGGGGGTGTTTTGTTGCTGTACACCTAGCTAATTTTCTATCCTAACAAAACATTGCATATCTGCTAATTAATTGTAATTTAGCAACTTTTATATAATTCAATAATAATATAATTCAGTATGTTCCCTCTTTTGGTTTGGGCTTTATGTTGCAAATGGTGAATATGTATTTAACATATCTGTATACTATTTTTTGGCACTCTTGTGTACCATTCGGTGACATCTTTGTGTTACCCAGTTGGTGGCATCTGTTTGACATTTGGTGAAAACTTTGTACCGTTTGGTGACTACTGTGTGCCATTTGGTGACATACTGCGTGCCATTTGGTGACACCTGTAAATCATTTGGTGACAGCATTACCGTTTGGTTCCACCTGTGTTCCATTTGGTGACAATTGTGTGCCATTTGACAACACCTGTGTTTCACTTGGTGTCACCTGTGTTTCACTTGGTGTCACCTGTGTGTCACTTTAAATGATATTGTATAAATTGAGAGGAAAAGTGAATTGTATATATCTGTATATTGTGATTACATAATTGATTATGTAAATATTAATACAAATATATGTATATGATGTGAAGGCACAATGTACATCCTTGAATTGATGTATGCGCAGAAAACATGGCCACCCATTAAGCTCTATTCAGACTATTAAATTTTATTTGACAAAAACATGTGACATGCCTAAATATGGTCATGATGACATCACATCATCCATATATAGGCACATCATGACTATATATGGGCATACAACAGTTTTTTGTCAAAGAAAATTTGATAATCTAGACAGAGCTTTTGGCTTTTACATGTCTTGCATGTGACATTATTTTGAAGAAGAAAACACAGATATTGGTGTTTGAATAATTTTTTTCTGTGTGCTTTAATGATTTTTCAGATATTTTTTTTAAAGATAATCATTATTGATATGTCATGCTTAAAGAGATGCTGTCTACGTTGGATTAAATAAATAATATTAAATATTTAAATTACATGTTTGCTAGTAGAATAATGTTAAATACTTACTTTGTATATTGAGGTATAAAGTTCTTAGATTTCTATAAAAATAAAAAGAAAATAGTTTCCTTTTAAAGAATTAACAGACATATTAAGAACAACATTCATTTATAAATTGCATAGTCGTAAATTGGCTGATTTTAGTAGAGTATGTGTAAATTAAATAAGTCTCACATTGCGATTTTGCTTTAATACGACAAGCAGTGCTACGACCTGCTCAGTCTAAAATCGTCTGGTGCATTGGAGTTGGGAAAGGTGTGAGAGGTATTGGGTATACGACACGACACGGATAGTCATATGTAAGCATACGATATCGTGGAGTTTTCAACATTCATTCAACATTCAAAAAATTGCAGTTGTAAGTGTCGTAGCACAGCATATCGTAAGAAAAATCACCATGTGTGACTGGCTTTAGAAAAAATTGTCTTTTTTCATGTCTACATTGATAACTTTATTTAAATTAGAGAATCAATGTTTTAATTAATAATCTGATGGTTTTATATTTTATAACAGAAAGACAATATATCTATTAGCATGTTTTTTTTCCCACATATTCGTATGTACTTGCATTTATTTTCAATTTTGGACATTTTTTAGAAATGATCAATTGATAATATGTTGGATTGGAAAATGTATTTAATGTTTTTATTTTTTATTTATTCATTCTGAAAGTAATCAATAGTGAAAACATTCAAGGATAAAAACACAGAAAATTACAAAAAGCAACTTATTTCCACTGTGGTCCCTAAATAAGAATACTAAGTCCACTTGATAAAAAAAAGGACCATATAAATTTCAATTTGGGTTTGGAAATATCCAGGTTTGCAAAATTTCCACAGTAGAGTTTTAAAAAGTCAGCCATATACTATATTATGTATGGGCATGCATATCTTGTCCGACGGGGAAAAGTTGACCTCATCCTGACCTGTGCTAGGGCAGCCACTGTCTGTCTCACACCCGTAGCATTATGTGATACATGGTGGTTTTGAATAATACTAAAGATTTAATTTTATTATTATTTAATTATAGCAAACATTTTTATAGACATGTGTGTTTTATTCAGTGACCCGGGAACTTATGAGAAACGTATAGAGGATTGATAAGACCAACTATATGCAAACCTATGGTGAGCGAGTGGTGTTATCCGTTAAAAAATAACAGGATGAAAAATTATATATTTATATACTTCTGTGTACACTGTATATATTGATACTGTACATTGATGATGACATAATTAATGTCGAAATATTGAATCCCAACACGATGGCGTGTATTTCAATACTTGGAGTATGTATTATACTTTCATAGCCGTTAACACTGTTAAATTATATATATAAATAATCAAAGAAAGGTAATACAGTGTTCGAATAAAGGACATAATAATACATTGTGTAGCATAGCTCTGAACGAATGTATTCCTATAAATAAGTGAATAAAGGAATTGTGTAATAAAATGCCTGCGACCTCTCGCTGTCAAGGTGAGCGTTATAACCACAGAGGCTTCATGGTTGAACAGATATATGTATATACAGGCCCGTAGCCAGAGGGGGGATCGGAGGGGTCGGACGACCCCCCCCCCTCCGCTGGGGTCACCCTTTTCCAGGCCAAATATTTTTCTCATAGAGCTGCTAGACCTATAGCCTGTGGCCTGTGTTTCTATCTCAGGCCAAAATGATCTAAAATTTTCTGGGTGAGGATGCCCCCAAACCCCCCCCCCCCAGCAGCACATGCCATAGAGCATGCGTGTGCCTACGGTACACATTGGGTCGCAGAGGCACCTGTATAAAAAGGTCACCTTTGGCTAAAAAAAGACCCACCCCCGCCCCCTTGGAAGTCTGGCTACGGATATATATATATA